CTGTAAAGTAAATCTATATTCTGCTATGGCCTTTCATTGTGTGCTAGGGTAACTTTGATGGCTTACTTGTGCTACTAGTTATGTAAAATTGAACAGCAAAACACCATTTTCTGCTTTTCTAGGAAGTGGGAAGACTTATACAATGAAGCCACTACCACTTAAAGCATCAAAGGACATCTTGAGATTGATGCAACATACTTACAAGAACCAGGGATTTCAGTTATTTGTGAGTTTCTTTGAAATATATGGTGGGAAGCTTTTTGATCTCCTTAATGATCGAAAGTGAGTTATTCAACCTTTCCTACTTTTGCTAGCACCTCTCTGTTTTATGAAATTGCAAGTTAAAATTGGAAATTGTAACGCAGAAAGCTTTGCATGAGGGAGGATGGTAAGCAGCAAGTTTGCATTGTGGGTTTGCAAGAGTACAGAGTTGCCGATGTAGAGACCATCAAGGAATTGATTGAGAAAGGAAATTCCACGAGAAGTACAGGCACTACTGGTGCAAATGAGGAATCTTCACGGTCACATGCAATACTTCAACTAGCTATCAAGAGGTCAGCTGATGGCAATGAATCCAAGCCTCCCCGTCTTGTTGGCAAGCTCTCCTTCATAGATCTTGCTGGAAGTGAACGTGGAGCAGATACTACTGATAATGACAAGCAGACAAGGTATGCTCCAAGGAGTTTGAAAGAGTATAAGGTGAATTTGCATCATTGCGTAGTTGAGTAATTGTGAAGCCAATTTCTTGTACAAAAATTTAGATAGTACGGCTCTACATGCGGCCAACTTTGGTATAACGATGTACTCTTTTTGTCCAATTTATGTGTTTATCCTCAGATTTTAGATTCTATTATTTTACCCGGTTCATAAGTTTACATTCTTAATTCATTCCTCTTAACTTTATTAAGGAATTTGTTTGCTTCATTGGCTGTTCCAAATTATGTGATGCAGGATAGAAGGCGCTGAAATCAATAAGAGCTTACTTGCCCTGAAAGAATGCATAAGAGCTCTTGATAACGACCAGGGACACATTCCTTTCCGAGGCAGTAAACTAACTGAAGTTTTGAGGGATTCATTTGTCGGTAACTCCCGCACTGTTATGATCTCATGCATATCACCAAGCTCTGGTTGTTGTGAACATACTCTAAATACATTAAGATACGCTGACAGGTAAAACTGAGTTTCTTAATTTTGATTAATCATGTTTCCTCCTTTATTCTTGCATGGCTGCATCACACATTCACGCATATACCACTATTAATGCGCATAAAACAACATAAAACTCATGGTTGTGTATGTATGTTACAAATTGAATGAATATCCAGGGTGAAAAGCCTGTCAAAAGGGAACAACACTAAGAAGGATGTTTCATCTACAAATTTTAATCCCAAAGAATCTACTACTGTTCCCTTATCTTCAATTACTGCATCAACTTTTGAGGATCGCACCGCAGATACCTGGCCTGAAGAAGATGATGGAGATGAATTTAGTCCATCTGAAGAGTATTATGATCAGGTGAAACCATCATGGAAAAAAAATGGAAAGATAGAGCCACACGGTACCACAGATGACAAACTGAAGAAGCCCAATGGTCAGACTCAGATAAGACGGAATGACCTCCCAAAAGCTGAACCTAAGGTTGCACATTCAGACGATGATTTGAATGCTCTCTTAAAGGTGAGATATTGAGAGAACGGTTTACGTACTTACAAAATATAATTTCATTGTAATTTGTGGGATGTTTCATCATTTCAGGAAGAGGAGGACCTTGTAAATGCTCATCGGAAACAAGTAGAGGAGACTATGAATATTGTTAAAGAGGTATTTGGCTGATAGGATCTACTAATCTCGAAACATGTTTTATTATTATTTCTATGGTCGATGCAAGTATCTCAAACTTTGAAATTGAGCCACCCAAATGGATCTTGGTCTTTGACTTGCCATTAAAGTCAGAGACCTGGTTATTTTCCTGAATCTGTTTTTGCATTCCAGGAAAAACGATGTATTTCCTGAGCAGAAAAATGCATTCTTGAAAGTTTATAGCTTTTCTACTTTTAAACTAGAGAAGTCCTGGACTGTGCAAATGCATGGGTATTAATAAGAAATGTGAACACTACCCCCCCACCCCCCCCCAAAAAAAATGGAGAGATGAACAGTACTTGAATAATGAATGTACAGTAACACAAGATATTAGTTTCATGTAACTTTTTGAATTACTTTTTTGCTATTGATGCAGGAGATGAATCTCTTGGTTGAAGCAGATCAACCAGGAAATCATCTTGATGATTATATAGTAAGACTAAATGCCATTCTATCTCAGAAAGCTGCTGGCATCCTGCAGTTGCAAACCCGTTTAACTCATTTCCAAAGACGCTTGAAGGAGCATAAAGTTTTGGTTTCATCTGGTGGCTACTAAATATCAATAAAAAACTCAGTCTGCAACGGCTATATTTCTGAGTCTGAGTGCATGCATTCTGTGATTCAATTAAAGTTTATCTGAATCTGGCATATATTGTAGGAATCTGCTTGTTGATTCATTATTCTGATTCCTACTTTTTCCTCGGGGATTAGAATCTGGAGCATTCATTTTTCTCCTTTCCCTTCTGAGCACACAGGCATGTGTTGGTTTACCAGGCTTGCTTGTATAAAGATCCCCATAAATACCAATGTAGCTCTTATTAAATTTAATTTACTGCTGACTCTGCAGTTGATTATTAATGTATTACACACATGGGAAACTACCAGTCTTTTGGTCATAAATATCCCGGGTTGCGTTGTTAAAGGTGGAGGGATAGGAATCATAATTTTATGGTGCAACTAGTAAGTTTTCCATGTTATGGAACGAAAGGAATCACGTGATAACGTACCCCATAACCCAAAATCAAAGAAGCAAGACCAATAAGTTGTCGCAGCAGTGTTAGTTTTCAACATTTAACATGATTGAAGATATTATGTAGGACTTGTTAATGTAAGCACACGTGATTTGATGATGAATTAAAAAAAAATTGAAGAATGTTTCTTTTTTCCTTGGATTTTTTTTTGAATGGAATGGAAGTGTTATCCAAAGATGTTTACAGATTTGATTTGGTTAGGTTTTTCTTTCACAAATCATTCAGTTTACTAATGTTTGGGGCTTATTTAGTTTTTTATTTAATTCAGTTTGGTTTTGGTTCATGTTTAGATCAAATTTAATTTATTTTTGGAGATCTTTTTAATAATCATTAATATATGTTCATATTCATTAATAATTTTTAACTATTAGTTATTTGCAATGAAAAAATTTCAAGTATAAAAGAATATTTTTTTTAATAATTAATTAGCATGTTGAACAATTTAAAACCAATATATGATTTTTAAAACTGTTAATTATAAAATTATCATTAATAATTATAGATAATATTTAGCTAATTGTAACATGTTTTTACTAATGATTTACAAATAATTAAGCTTTAGAAAGAGAAAAAAAAAATTAGACAAATTTATAAAAAATATATTATAATTATAATAAGATTTGTTTTAATTTGGTTCAAGTTTATAAAAGCAAACCTTTGAACCAAGACAAATCAATTGGTTTTGTTAAAAAAAAAAAATCAAACTAAACTCCATTTATAATTAATGTTCATATCGGTTAGCTTTAATGTAATCAATATGGATTAGTTTAGAAAACCTTATATCCATGCCAAAAAAAAAATTGATAATTGTATATTAGAATTCTAGAGGGGAAAAAGAAAAAACAAAAACAAACAAATACTCCTTATACTTGTCATTTATAAATCGTTACTGAGTAGTTTGAAGTACGAATAATAATAAGCCCCTATCTTACCCAATTTTTATGTATCATACTCATCAATTTTATGTTAGAATAGGGTTAGCATCCAATTTATGATATTTATCCTAGTCTCAAAACGCATGATAGTAGTTTACATATATAATATATAATAATAGAAAGATTTTAGGATATAAATTGACTAGAATTTTTTATTTTTCCTAGAATAAGTGGGTAAAATTTTTTTTCTAAAAACTATCTTCGGCATATGCATGAGAAGAACGTTCCTCGCTCACCTGGCCAAGAGTCCCAGACAGACCAACGAAGTTGCGAAATAATGAAGGGCACAAATGTCTTTTCATTTGCTTCCTTTCCCGCCATTTTCTTGTTCCTTGTTCATCCAGCTCCTTCAACAGTCTCCTTCGTTCAGAGTCGAACCCTGGGTTCCAGAAAATCTATACCCAAGAAACCCCGAGCCAGAAACAAAAAAGCCGAAAAGACGCCAACTTTAATCCTTATGCCAAAGATGAGCTTCACGATGCTTCAATTATGCCTTGTTCGTCACATTAACAACAACCCACGCTATCGTTCCTCTCTTTTCCGCCCACTTCGGTTCCTTTAGATGCGGTTCTGAATCTCCCAGCGTCAGTATCTGTGAAGCAAGACGACGACGTTTCTTCTTCCCGTTCATTCGAATACATTACCATCCCTCTATCTCTTACGTTATTGCTATTACTGATATTCTTCATTTTCAGCTAGCTGATACTTAAGGTTCAAATTGTTCTTGATTGTCATTATTTTTACAAATCACCTATTCACCTCCTCTAGGTGACACTTTAAGGTTATTTCTTTTGCTGCTATACTAGCTGCAAGAGATTATGTGGTTTTGGTAATGTTGTTTGTTTACGCTCTGTTTATATCTTTCTGTTCAGTTCTATATTTAGAACTGTGTATTTCACGCTGGTGGCTCATTCTATTTGCTACTTGCTGGAAGAAGAGACCGTTCTGATTCTCTGACATTGCAGCATATGAGCTTCCTTCACTGCACCATGACTTAGTGAAAGAGAAACAGTCACTCTCTTAAATTAACTGCCAGTCCTCTTTCCTTTTTATTCTCTCTTCAAGGCTACTAAAGAGTCTCTGTGGTAAAACAATACCTAAGTTATACTTAGCTTATGTAAAGTGAGCTTCTCAAAACTTATTGAAATTTTTAAAAATATGACAGTGTCAATTTGAAAGATATATTGAAAAAGAAAAGTGCATGAAGTATACATGATATGTAACAACAAAAGTGGAGTCTATTAATCAAGTTTTTTCCTCTCTCTTTGAGAATGTCGCTGTCAAATCCAATTATTGAAACACCCCACTTGTAATGCCTCTTTCCTCTCCCTCTTGGTTTAGTTTACCATAAAAAGTTATTTGTCACGCAAGACGGAGATAGGATATTTTCTCCAGATTCCGCCTCTGTAGATTTTCCCCCAGCAAATCCTCCATTTTCTTGCATCAATGATGTCTTGAAATCTGTCCTTTCTTTTGATCCACAACATTGCAAATTCTCCGTTTTCTCCATTTTTGCTGGAACTAATGATCCTGACCCATCTCTAGATACTGAATTTCTGTAACTCTCAAGATCAAATGAGATAGCACAAATGTCTCACCCTCTACAGCATCAAAAGCACTAAAGCCTAGGAATAGCTGTGGACTTTGAGCACCTTGGGTCAGATTTTGGTACACAATACTACTAATTTATGGCACAAGAGAAATGCTCTATGCTGATTGGCAATTAATGGCAGGGGAAGATGCGTTTGAATTTGGCATGCGCACATCTTATCTGTATCATCTACATGAAATTTGGATGGTCCGGATCCCATTATATTATTTTTGCATTTTTAAAGAAATATTAATTTTTTTTCATGAATTGGTAGGTATAAGATTGATACTAGTTTATATTTTGAATCATTCAACATAAAAAGTTACTCAAATCTGATTAAAAAAAGTCTAGATTGTCCAAATCTCATCTAAACAATCCACAAAAGAAGTTTTAAAATTCAACTAGTAAGGGAGTCGTACCAACTTAATCAAAAATTTCAATTGAGTCCTAAAAATACAGCATTTGGTAGTAGAGCTTTTGCCCAAATGAGTCCCGACCCAACTCAATTGGAATTAGTTGGAGTTATTGGCTTCAGAGATCATATGGTTTATGATATAAAAAAAAAAAAAAAGAATTGCACCTAATGCACATTTCTATAGTTATAAACAGGGATATGCTCTAGATCTAAATTCAGAGGAAGGCTCTGGGAATTGGGTTAATGGTCTGATTGGTCAAATGGTATCAGTTTTTAAGATTCAGATACCTTAATGTTTACCAAGAAATGAAGTCCATTAAGACCCAATCATCCGAGGGAAAAACTGATACCATATGCTTATATGAATATTTTATTGTAGTTGGATGGACAAGATGGATTCAAGCATGCAGTCAACCGACACAAGAGAGAAAAAATCTGTATATAGCCAGAACTGAAAGCAAACCTGTCAACCACGCAGAACACTTGGAAAAGAAGAATAAGAAGCACAAATCAGAGAAACAGATCAAAAAGATTCCGTATACACCTGAACTTTCTTTGCAATTTGGTGAACTAAATCTACAACCTGATCGACCGACGCCTTCCCTTGGAGGGTTTGATACTGACAGGGGGCTGTGAAGCGGAGAACTCTGAGTGCATGTCCACAAAAAACTTATCCACAATGTCTAAGTAAACAGGACTCGTGAGACGAGAATAATAGTGGAGTGCCTCCTCTATGTCTAGAACTTGCTCAACATCACCTGCATCCATCATCTCCAATTCCTTCATCTTCTGTGCCAAGACATGAGCTCCTCCATTCTTCTTGTGTTGATGATGACTTAAATTTTCCTTCTTCTTCCCAACTTGATAGGTTCCTTTTATCTTGTGTTTCGCTCTGCCTTCATGTGTGCTCGTTTGCTCTCTTTGCTTGGAAAATTTCATGAAGCTTCCAGTACAAGAAGCATCTTCCACTTCTGGTGGCTCTTTGGACCCAGATAAGACATCACTATTAACCCTCTTGATTATACTTAGATCTGACTGCAAATGATCGTAGAACTCATTGTAGAATTGGTCTCTAGTGTAGTTTCTTCCATAGCCGCTGCTGCAAGTGAAAGGGTTGAAGGAAAGAGATGTGGGTAGTCTCTGGTACCCTCCACACAAGAAGGACTTCACATTTCTGAAGGTTTTGTGAAATAAAACCTTGGTCTTGTCAATGGTTTCTCTAAGCAGCATTTGTGGTTGGTTCTACTGTAAACAGGCAAAAGCTTTCACTAGGTGGCTCTTCCTTTGAGAGCTGACACAGCTTAAATCTTTTATAGCTCGTGTATTCTCAAATTTTGTCTTAAACTTACCAAGGACAAATGCAATAAAAATAAAATAAGAAAACATGTACTATATAATAAAGGGGTCATAACATTTTTTTTTTTATTTATCTCCATCTTTTTGTCCACGGCATCCCATGCTGTCTCTGCCCCTTTCAAACTCCCCGTCTTTCTGGGGTGGACATATGATCATATGATAATTGCCAGATCTCGGCAAAAAGTACTTTGGGGTCCCATATCTTAATCGGAGGTTGTTCCTCTTTGGACTAAAGATGGTTAAAGATCATAACTTTGAGGACTTTGCTTTGTAATTATCACAAATACCGATATGTTTTGACTAATTGCAGATGAAAGTGCAGAGGCAATGATTAAAATGAAAAGCTAAAGATCCTTCTGTTTTGCTAAATTTGAATCCTAATAGATACATAAATCAAATCAAACACCCCATTACGATCTTTTATCTTATATGATTATACCAATTCATTGTTGATCTGTACTCATCAGTAATTATATTCAGATACGGTTTTTAGGCATAATGTCTCTCTGGGTCACTTGGAAGGATTGACAGAAGATACTCCATTAATGTCAGAATGAGTTTATGCAGTAAATTACATTCACTTGGGAAGAAAGCAACATTTATTTCTAAAAAAGAAGAGAATGGTCCCCTTAGTGTAGTAATGTTGGGAATGAGAAGTAATTGGACAGCAAGATGCGGGAGGAGTATATCAATTCCTGTATTGTGCAGCGTGTAGTCGCTATCCATTACTTGCCAGTAATTAAAGTCCTTCAACCACCTCTGCTCTAAATTATCAATTTAAAGCGACTACTAACTTTTAGTGCAAGAGTGTAGCTCGCTCATAGTTGTTGAGTTTTTAAAAAATATAAAATATAAAATAGAAGAGAAATCAGAAAACTAATAATTCCTAGCACCATTGTAATCATTATCAATGTACTACACGGTTGTATTGGTTATTTAAAATTATTCAGACATTGTACTGGTTACCATCTTTGAGTCTTTGCCACTACAAAATACCATAAATTTAATTGAGAAGAATAGTATTTAAAATAAAAACAATTAATGATCCAGGAACTCTTACAAGATGACTTATATTTGACACTATAAAATTCATGAATATATACATATTATATTCTAGTTCCACCCATGAGACCTCTTGACTCTTAAAATTCAAAGAACCTAATTATTACATTCATGAATCAATCAAATATCAAGAGTTTTGACTATTTTTTTTTCTTTCATAAATTCAAGTTATTGAGTGCAAGTACATTCACATGTATAATATACATTCATTAAGATACTTTGATTTCGAAAAATGTACATAATAGTGTTAATGTAGATACATTGAACTCATTAAGTTAGTATGTAATAAATAAAGGCTTACAAACAGAAGTCTAGCATAAAAACATTTTCCATATATCTAATTCAAAGTAAATGAATGTGCAATTAATTACATGAAACTAAGTCAAAAGTTTAAGTTATGTAAGAAAAATGACGGCTTATGAGATTTGGTAATCTAATATTTGAGATACTCATTCCCGACAATAATATATAGCTTTTTCTAGAAACTCAGTCCAAAAATATAAAACATTGGTTAAATTTTATATATATTTTAATTATATTTTTATTTTCTTATATTTCATTAAGTTATTACTAAAGGTGTTTTGAATAAGTCGAATATTATATTTATTTTACTTACAGATACTATAAGAAAGATGTGAAAAATTTTAGAAAATCAATATGTTAACCATTTTTAAAAAATATATATAGATTAATTAACAATAATTTATATTTTCATCCAAAAATAATTCAATAACATTATAAAAATATTCAATGATTAATGAGAGAGAGAGCATTTGCATTGTTTAAACTAAACTAAATATTATGAAAGAGGTTAGGCTTTTTAGGTTTTTTGTTTCTTGATTTATTTTGCTTCCTTTGTTTAGTATTGTATTTCAGTTTCCATTCAAAAAAAAAAAAAACCATTAAACTTATAGCTAGTGATTATGAAAAGAAGGCAAACCAATTATTAGAGCGAACAAACGAAAAACCCATAATCATTAATTAGCTTCCCCGACTTTCACTATCTTAGTGTTAGGACCATACGTAAATTACATAATTCAAGCTTTTTAATTTAACAGCTGAAAAGACTATCAAACCAATCAAGTCTTGCATATGGGAGAGAGGCTGGTCCAAAGTGCTACAAACTAAACTAACATGATGAGAGAGTTGGAGGCGGAATCAAACACAAGCAGGTGTTTAGATCGTTTTCAAATATTAATGTTCTATTTATTTGTATTGGTTTTTCAAATATTAATGTTATTGACAATTGTAATTTGTCACTTTTTGAAAGTCCCATGTTTGTCAATTTGCAGGATCAAATAAGTCAATGTTGAGAAGATCAAGACACCTACACAAAATATAAAGGATAAATTACATTTAAGGACACTATAGGTATAGGTATTAATTTAAATTAAGGATCTTAAATTTTGAAAAAGTTAAAAATGAAAAAGAAAAAGTTGAGTTAATTTTTTCCATAATCATGTTTGATCTTTTCAGTACCCAATTTTAATGATTTTCAGTATTTTAAAAAAATTGTGGTCTTTAATTATACTCAATAATCATGTCATTTGCTCATATATAAATCAATGGTCTGAGATACACCCAAACAGTGCACAGCATTAAAATTCTATTTAACATTGAAATGTTCATATAGGGCAATCTATTTTCAAACATGCCCCTCAAGATCAGTTGGCTGCTATGGTGTATTTAGAAGTTCTGACATGCCCGTGAACAGCATTTTTTTTTTTTTCCAATTCCCAAAAATACGGGGCATCTAGTTCAATTAATCTGCATCTAGAAGGATATACTTATCAGTTCTCACGTCAAAGAACAGGAATTCAATGGGTTTATGCTGCATCCACAATCCATAAATCATGAAGTCTGCTGCTCCAAACAAGCCATGTGTGATGATCAATAAGCCAACCTGCATCTAGAAGAAAAATATACAACTGCCACGCCACGTGGGCCCTTAAGATGAACAAGAATAAACATTGCCCAGAAGTCTAGAGTTGTTCAATTCTTGGCTTGTCAGCTCAATAAAAGTTCTTTTCTTACCTGCCTTGATTTCTTTGGAAACAACTTCGACCATTACTAATCCCCCCAACTTGACTTCAAGAATCAGTGAAAGGACATATGGTATCAAAAGCATGAATGCTATAAATGCGGCTTCGCAGCATTTTATGATTACATGTGTGAGACCACAGACAGTGAATTCCAATAAAACTTGCAAAATTTGAATTCTAGCATTCATAATCTACATATGAATTACTCTACTCAATTAAGAATACAGATTGTATCGCTATTAATTAATGAATACAACTCATATTTCACTTTGCTCAGAGCATTCAATCTAGTATCAGGAAGAAATTGGTGGTTAATTTGAAGAACGAAATGGATCCCAAAGAAGAAGTGACAGCAAGAAGAGATTAGGTAGCAGAACCGGAATCACAGGGTTAACATTTCTGACAAGGCGCTTCCTGGCGAGTCTCTTCCTGACGTATTCCCGCCTCTCTTGCTCTCCCCACTGCGCTTCCTCCAATCCTTTGGCCAGCACCAATGGAGGAGGTTGCTGAAACGGGCACTTGCACCGCCACGAGGTCTTCGGAGGCCCCAATCTAAAGATCCTTCGAAGGAAAAGAGAGAGACTCCATCTGGTAAGGATCGAGGGTTTAGGGCAAAGAATTGGAGGGTAATCCCAATTCAGGTAACATGGAATTTGGCCGGAGAGGAAGAATTGAGAGTGTAGGGTCGGTGTGGCCGTGGGGCTCGTGAGGATGTGAGTTAGGGCGTGAAGTCTCTGCGTCCACGTTGTGTTCTCCATTGGAAGGAAAAGATGCGATTCCGAGATAGGAGAGAAGAAGAAGAACGGTTTTGGTTGCTATGGTTTATGGATAGATAGATATGGAAAATTGGGGAATATCTGCTCAATCGGATTCCTTCGTTACAGGTTCTTTTGCGTACTTAATCTTACCCTAATTCTGGAACTATCTTCACATCTTCACAATTATCCAAGACCACAAGCCATTTCTGAACATCCTTCACTGTCAGTCTGTCACTGAGCTTCCAAATATTCCTCCATTAATCGTTTAGCAGATCGTAATAAAGCATGAGAAAACATGATTGGGTTGCCAATCGACCGAAGAGTTTGTTGATGACAATAGTTTAATATACAGTTTAAACTATAACTATTTAATTCAGATATCAAATCCTTTGGAAAAAATAATTAACACGTAATTATAATAATTTGCGTAATCCAACAACACATGGAGGTGCATAGACCAGCGAGTATGTTGTAGATATTGCCGAAGCTAGAATGACTCCGGCAGACTCTATTTTCAATGAATGCTAGGAGAATTTGAAGAGGGTTCTATCTAAAACTTAGGCTTCATGAAAGCAGGGATGAAATCAAGGGATGTTTGATTTAATAGGTAAGAGAGTTATACTACTTTAATCAGAAATTTCAAATTTAAACCTTCAAATGCAGCAATTTGTTTCGAAATAATTAAAAACTTCAATAATTAACTTATCATCTATTTTTGCTTTTTTATATTTTTGACACATCATCAGGTTAGAGGACTAAAAAAAAATAACAATAATAAAACATTACTGGCATTGAGGTGCTTACAATTTTCCCATTAAACAGACGCACAAACAAAAATGTTTTTTTTTTTGACCAACCACAAACAAAAATGTGTTGATAGTTTAAATTGTAATATGAAGAGCAACAATCAACCATATTATGCTTGTAAAGCAAAGTGCTTGTTTTTCACCCAAAAAAAAAAAGTTTTAAGTGCTTGTTTGAGGACGCGCTTGAGTGGTCTGACTCTTCACAAACATGATTTTGATTTCATTGAATGTATTTTCCAACATGCCATCAGAGACATGAAGTATCACCACCGTATAAAGGAACACAATTGATATCTGAATGTTCTTCACCCGTCATGATATTTTTGCTTCATGAGAATGAGTTAACATTGATTATTTAAAATAATTACATTTCATTTTGAATCAAATTTCATTTTGCTTGGGATCTGCTGGTGTGAGTATAAATACTGAACTCTCTGTCTTGGGCTTGGTAAGCCCTCCCTATACATCCGCGTGACAAACCTTTCTGTTAAATTTGAAAAACTGATGCAATAACCTGTGGACTTCACCGTAGTTAGTGGTAGACGAAACCAATCGATCTTTTATCCACCGTGGGAGCTTGTTCACTGGATGAGAAAAGCTCCTTTTTGAGGAATCAGATGCATACCTTGTGTCCACCAACAAAATTGCTGCGTAGTCATTAATGTGACGGATTGCTCTACCTATATAAAACAACATACATACAGATCTCAGTTGCTGAAAGATTTCCCAGTTTTACCAGGACTTGGTTCCAATGAGTAATCTAAATCCACTCACTTAATAAATGTCTCACGTGACACCGTAACAACCATCAATCTGTGAGAGATTTTATGATATAATACTCATAAAGAGCCAAATCTCAATTTTTTAGAGGTGGCACAGGTGAGGAGAGTCATGATCACAAGGGTAGTTTTGAATTTTTGAAAGAAAATTGTCTCGATAATTTTTGAGTGTTAATATCCAATAGTTGTAATTAAGATATTCATTAAGTGACTAAATTTAGATCACTCATTGAATCCCAATCCATTGCGCCATCGAGCATGTTAGGTCTTTAAGATGTGAAAGCAAGCACGTACCTATTGATTGATTTACAGCTTTCATGCAGAGATTCTCATAGTACTCCTTTCCCCTGTGACTGCAACTTCTTAAGATATCAAAGCCACCTTGTACATCTCCACTGTAAACATTATAACTGGAAGAAAATGTGGAAGTTTCCATGGGGTTTGAATTTCGAAAGCCTTCAATATGCTTTATCCTCTCTAGCAACTCAATGTCAGAAGGACTAGGATATGGCAGTCCAACCATGACTATGCACCGGCCCATCCCATCACTTAAGTTAATTCCTTCAGATATCTTTCCACCAACAACAGCTAGGAGGACTGCACCACCCTGAAATGCTGGGTTTCCATTTGAATTTATTATACTCGATGATGGGTAAACTGTTTCTTTATATTCTTTCAGAACAGATTCAATATCTGTATTATTTCTAGGCTCTCTAAATATACGCTTCCTCCTAGTAATTCTCTCCAGGATGCCAGAAGATTCCCAAGCTTCATAGACTTTGGCTTCGTAATCAAAAGAAGAGAAGAAAACAACAATTCCTTCAGGAACTATGGTCACCAAATTACAGAGAAGAAGACCTAGCTCCTGCATCTGTGAAGCGCAGAATTCATCATGATCAATATTTCAGAAAGTAAAATACAGAATGCCATCTCATTTAGAACATAATTCATTAGCCAGTTGCTTTCAAATTATCACAACCATGAAATAAAACTCGCACATTAAAACAAAACATCGGCTGATCAGGACTGCCTTATACTCACAGTATCATGTGAGCTCCTTGCGCTGTAGCTAAAATCAAAGGAGCGACCAGCAGGGCCACGGGAAACTGCAATTGGCATAATACTCTGCGGAGGGACAATATGACCACACGAAAAGAAATGAAACTGGTCTAATGGTAACCACGGAAAGAGTCGCTCTCGTGTTTCTTCAATAGGTTGTAGAGTTCCCCCTACCAATAGAACAGCATGTGCTTGGCCTGCAATCTAGAGAAAGTGTAAGGGTTATTTACCTTAGTTATATTATCTATTGAGACAGGAAACCTCAGCTCAGAGTTCATTAAGACAACGGCATCTGGCAAACCTCAGAAAATATCTTTTCTCCACTGAGCATAACATATTTAATATATCCTCCTTGTTTCCTAGGGCTCATCGTTCTAGGCCTGGAAATGATAATCCTTCCATCATTGTTATTATTTGTCAATGATAGCAATATGTCAGATAATGCCTGGAACGCAGACTCAGTGCTTCCCTCTTCATAATGTTCTCCAAGTTTAGTGATTACTGATATCTTCTGCAAGTTGGCTGCCTTTTCTCCGTAACTAGAAACCTGGAAAATAAATTTCATTTTGACACTAAAATGACAAAAACAGCAAATCCAGAGGCACCATAGGAACTTAGAAGATGATACAAGTGTTCGGCAGCAAGATTCACCTTGTGCATGATTTTGCTTTCCTTGATATACTTCACCATCTTAATCAAGTTGACGTTGTCTATATTTAGTTCAAAGACAAAATCATTGACGGACATGGTAAATTCAGAGGCCCTACTTTCCTGAAAAGCCTTTTCTATATCAGGGCAAGAATTTATGAGATTTGCATCCTTCCCATTGGTCAGCACTCGCAGGAAAGCTCGAGTGAGGACCATTATAGTTTGAATATATCTCCTGTTACCAGGTCCCAGAAGATTACGGAATCTCCCAAAGTATCTCTCCAAATGGGAATGCACATTTTCTAGCTGAAGAAAAAAGAGAATAATCAAACCGCATATTCAAAGTATAGATGTTTACTGAAGAAGAATTTGATCTAAGTGAGGTCCACCAATAAATTTACACTAAATGCCCATTGATTGTCTTCAAAACATTAATATCCCATTGATTGAAAGCGTGCACACCAATGTAACGCATCTAATAATGGCATATGCAAATTCAAACACGAAGATTAAACTTGCTCTTAAAAGACAGATGCTTACCATGCTTCAATCTAGGTAGGTAATGGCTAACATACCTGCGCTAAAGTAATTCTGGAGTCATACATCCTAATGAGTGAATCAGCTAAATTATGAGCTTCATCTATAATGATAACATTGGATTTCAAGTTCAGACCAAGTGCTTCACGAGATGATTTTGACAGCAGAGACTGATATGGTAGAACCACAAGATCAGCACTCAAAACCAAGCTTCTAGAACCATAATAAGGACAAGTTCCCAAATTTCTTCCCAAGTTAGCAAGATCTTCAATATCCAAGGCCCCTCTCTGAGAGACCTCATCCCTGAATTCTCTTTGTAGCCTTTGCTTTCTAAGCATTGGGCAACCAGACAATGCCTTTGTTCTCCGTGCTCCTGTACATGCCCTTAAGTTCTGAAAATCAGAGCCATCATTATTCGTTGGAAGCCACAGTAGTCTCTATAATCACTGTTATTTATATACTTGCAAAAGTGCTTGTGCCGACTTGCTAGTAAGTAGGGTAGTTTGCCGCAAAGTTAAAACATTCAGCACGCAAGCTTTAACTAACATAGGAATGGTGGATTTTTCATCAATTATCCAATATACCCTTTTCTTGGTATTTTGATGTTTGACCAAGCAGATAGACATGTTAAATGAATAGAAGCCTTGATTATTCTAGGTTCACCGAATCATATACTCCATTACTCCTCGTTCAACAAAGTTGTGAACTAGGATTTATTTTCCTGGAAATGGAAAAATTATGCATCCATAAAAACATAATATTCTATAATTTTGCATGGAATCTGAATCATCCTTAACTAAGATGATTCATTCAAAAGCATTTAGCAATTCTTGTATAAGATTGAACAACCACTAGAATTAAAAAAACAACGATAACTTTTCTCAACTCTTTAAGTTGTACATAGCATTTTTCAAAGAAATAGCCATAACAACTTAAGCCCATGTACCTTAATTTTTGCTGGTTCATTTTTCTTTTTCTTCTGGAGTTCCAAGCATCGCTCATTTATGCGTGTAGAGTTCCCAAGTTTTAGTACTTCTGGAAACATGTAGCAAGAGAATTATTAAAAATCTATAAACTTCAATTAGCTAATGCAGCTTTACCCAAAAAAGAAAATAAACCAGCTTATGTGTAAGAAGAAAATTTCAGACCTTCGTTGATGCAAAGATTTTTCCTGGAGCCCAAACAAACAACGTCCATCTCATCAGCAAAGACTGTTCTCCTTAATTCCTTTATGAACTGTGATAGCTGTGAATGAGTCCGGCTACAGAAATAAACCTTCAATTTCTCCTCCTCCTCCTCATCATCATCATCAGATTTATCCTCTTCACTGGATGAAGTAAAACCACTTTTAGAAGCCTTCCTCTTTGACGCTACATTATCCAGAGCTTCTTCATCTTCACTTTCATATTCCTCGAGTAAGAATTCCTCATCAATAACATCCACATCCACTTTATCAATTTTCTCACGCAAATTCTCATACCCCTTTTCAGGAGGAGAATCTTCGCCTATAACCTGAAAATCTTTGCAAATTTCCCTGTTATTCTTCTTACCAGGCATACCTAATCTAGATCCATACTTCTTCTTGCTTATTCTTTCAGATTGGACTTGCTTTTCGTTGTCCACAGCAAAATCTCTCATCCAATCAGGTTCATCATCTGAACCCCCACCATGATTTTCCTCATTTTTACCACAATCCCGTCCTGCTTCTGCTGATTTCTGCTGTTGCCTACGATCAAGCACCCATTGCAAAGCGCTGCAAATAACGCTCATAGTCTTCCCAGTACCTATTCCATTGAAACTACTCAAATTAAACAAGTATTACGAATTTACACGACGACTAAAAAGACCAAGATGGGTTTGCTTGACCGAATCTAACAATGCAGGTAAAACCATAAGAATACACAATATTACTGTAATTTCCAGCAAGCCGAATGAAATAACAATAACGAAATTATTTTCACCCAAAAAAATTCAAATGAAATTATGATAGGAGATATATACCGGTAGGACTTTCCAGCATGGAAACGCCACCTTGGTCAAGAGAGTGATAGAGGGCGTTCATGAAGTCGATCTGGATGGAGTAGGGTTTGAAGGGAAAGGCAGGGAATTTTGAGTCACAGTCACGTTTACTTCCTTCACTGGCATCCATTTCCTTTCAGCTTCACGTTTGCTTGAAATGAAGCTATGAGACTCTGCTCGCAAAGAGCTAGGACTGTTCTGTGAGCTCTTTGATCTTTGATGGTTATCCTGTCGCCATTTTTTTTTTTTTTTACTCCGTTTGTGGCCGCATCAACGACGGAGCGAAATGAGCGAATGACACTTCCCGCCAGATCAGGGCGGGAAAGTGAAATCATCCAGATGTAGAGGCCATGTTTGGCTGCTTGGATTTGTAATAATCTCAAATCAGGAACTACAATGCATTAATTTCTTAAGCCAAGTCACTACTACAATTATATTAAATTAAATTAAATTTCTATTGAATACGAATTTGCGATGAAATGAATAAAAATATGATGATTCTGATTGAGTATAATAATAATAATAATAATAATAATAATAAATTAGGGTGCAACTTGAATAAATTTTAGGACATCATTTATAATTTAGAGCGTTAGCATTAGATTTTTGTATCATATACATACTTTTATGATATATTAATAAAGAAATTACTAATACATTTAATATTATATATTTAAGAGGCTTGTGTTCAACGAATTCATCCATGACAAATAGAGCTATAATAATAAAATATATATTTAATCTTATATATTAGGTGAATTAGATGTGCAAAAAAAATTGTAATGATAAAATATATTAAAGATTAAAGAATATTCCTTGAACAAAAATTTATAAATCACTCTCCCATTATTATTATTATTATTACTATTATTATTATTATTATTATGATAAGACACTTTCTCTCTCTCTCTGTATATATTACAATACACATTTTTATAGCTAGACTTTATGCAATTTCCTAATTCTTCTTTGTTTGATATTTTCCAACTCATTAAACAACCTTCCAGTAGATAGTGAGAGTGCCTGCCACCTGCTGTCATCATCTACTCACGCAAAATTCCTCCATCAGCTATTTCTCTGTTGTTGGTTTGGAGCCTGGATGGTGAGATTTTAGTTAAATATGCTTATGAATTCATCAAGAGATTGGAAAATAATCATGTTGATTTTATATGGGATAAATTCTGGCACTGGCTATTTCCAGAGAAAGTTAAAATATTCCTTTGACAAGTTTAACACAAGGGAATCCCCTCAAGCTCCCTCAAACCAAAGGATATATAAAGAGTGATTTATGTTCCTTTGAGGGTAACAATGAAGATGATACTTTACACATATTCTATGATGGTAAGCAAGCTAAAAAAATACTATTTGTATTGTTTTTATTGATCCTAACGCATTTCAAAAACTTATTTCATGCCATAACCTAGGTAATTTTAAAGATAACCAATAACCTAAAGTCAAAATTTAAAGAATTGCCCAATTTCAAAACTCAATTTTTGTTGAAATGTGAAATCAATTAAAGTTAATGTCCATATTGATTCAATAGAAGCACTGTCGCTTATTAACAGCACGTGCTCTAGAAATCACCCCTTATCTAACGTTATCAAGAAGATTTAAGAATTCATTATGAGAGACTGAATTGTTATATTTAATCATGTCTATAAAAAAGTGAATAAACATGCTAACTTCTTAATCCACTGATCAACACAAAATATTTTTAATATTATGATTTTTTATGTTCCCTCAATAGACTGTACTATCCTCATAGTTTTAAATATGAGTAGAATATAGTCCCTTTGTATCTCTTTGTCATGGCCTTATAATAAAAATAAAATATCTTAAGAATTGGGTTTTATGGACTAGCAGCAATTGTGTCAACTTTTTGCTAGTCAACTAATTTCCTCAAGCGTTGGGTTGCCTCTTGTAATAAAAAAAAAAAACTTATCCAATTATTTATGATAAAGAAGAGGGAGCATAATTTATCTGATGAATTTATGATGCGAATATAATTAGAAATTTTAAATAATTAATTACTCATAAGAAAACCGTGAAATTTCCCAATCACATGAAATATAGGATATTATTTCGTATCCATGCTGCTGTAGACTTGAAAATGATACATTCTTTCTTTGTCTTGATGTTTTTAAACTTGTGAAATTAATGTTTGGATAAATAATTTATAAATAAAATATATCAAAAATGCAATTCTATTTTTTTTTTTTAAATGAGAGTAAGCCAATATCTCTCAATGCATCATCCCACAATCCCAATACCTGTTTTGTTTAATTAGCTGTTTAAGAACGCTTATGCTGGCGTCTTATACTGTTTAGCTATATTTTTCAAACACTCAACAACACATTCAAGCTACATTTAAAATATGGTTTTATGAAATTCAACAAATAGTTAAATTTCTTAAACAAACTTTTGCTAAATATAAATTAAAGATCAAACACACATTTCATTGCATTTGTCTCCCTTTCATCCAAATTAGAGAGTTGCTTCCTATAAAGCATAAATTGTTATACCTAAATTTTGAGTCAGTAATTCGTGTCAAGTCTGATTGACTAGCCTAAACCCGCTTAAAAAAAGTCACAGTTTAGCTTGACTATATGAGTTTTTTAAAAATATATTATACTTTAAATTTGATTTAAATAAGTTTGGCTCAAATTGAGCCTAACTTGAATAAACCTAATCGTTAAAATTTTTAATTTTATATGTATATAGAATTGATAATTTTGGCCAAGTTTAATAGGTTAGTCCAAACTTGTCCGAAAAAGTTAAGAATAAGCTTGATTATATGAGTTTTTTAATAGGGTAGGATACTTTAAACTTAATTCAAATTAAGTTCGATCGAAATAAACTTGGCAAGCCTGAATTACCAGCTCTACCTTTGAACTATCCAATAATATTCAATGTGCGAGGACTAAGAGAAATTGGTGTAAAATATTGAATGTATAGCCAAATAAAAAAGCTCACAAATTAACTATTTGGAAAGGTATGAACCATGCGATGTAGTTAAACAACGGGAAGTATTAGTTAATAGAAGTTACTCCTTCCATTTAAAAATATAAAATATTTGTAATTAAATTTTACTCATAATAAAATAGTTACCTACTTTTAAATTAATCTTATTTTTTTTTATATTTATCCTTATTAAACACCTTGTAATAAATATAAAGTCATTCATTAATAGAAACACTTTTGAAAAAAAGCAATAATTACACCTCAAAAGATTAAAAATGCTTTATATTTTAAATATTTAACTTTTTAAAAAATACTTATATTTTTAAATAAAGAGAGTAATAAAGAGTGAAAGAGAAATTTGTAGTATAAGTAAAATCAGATAGATATTTTTGGATCAGTTTATTTTATTCTTTCGCTGGCTCTAAATGGGCTTGCGGTAATCTTGGGCTAGTAGTCCAAACACATGCTCGTCGCAAGAATTTATGAAAGCACACTTCACAAGGTCCAAAAATTTTAAAAACAGTGAGGAAATAAAATTAAATTATCAAAAAAAAAAAAATATTGAACATGATAGCTTTCAAATAAGAAAAATTATAAAAGTAACAAATAAGAATAAATTTCAATAACAAATATTGGGGTGCATGAAAAATTAAATGGACCTGAGGCCTTGTTTTTTAAGTTTTTTTTAATAAAAAATCACTTATCATTATTTAAAAAATTATACTATAAAATTTTATTACGTTTGTAGAAAATTTTTAAAATAATTATAATAAAAAATATTTTTTTAATATTTTAAGTATCTTTTTTGATGCAATATATGAAAGAAAATATTATAAAATATAAAAATACTTGAATATATCATAAAATTTTAAAATTATTATATGTTAATTATTTTTAAATTTTATAATATTTTTATTATTTTTATTTAAAAATTTAAGATATTTTCGTGTATTTCCCATTTTTATAACATTCTTTTTATTTATCACATTAAGTTATTTTTTAAAAAACCCAAAATGCCTTTTCAAAATAATAAAAATATATTTTTATATTCAAATTATTTTTTAAAATTTTAAAAATAGAAAATTTCTCGAAATAATTTTTTTCCCAAAAAATAAATACCTTTTTATGAAAATACTTAATCAATATATTCTAAGTCATTTAAAAATCATTTATTTTATAATGTTAGACGAGTCCTTCAACCCTAAAACCCGGTTAGCTATTTAAGAATTGTTCTTCGCGCCGCTTTCATCCTTCAGGTCATTGCATCTAGGGTTCTGCCTCCGCTTCGATGGTACCCTTCTATCTCTTCATACGGTTCTATGATTGTGCTTTTGCGATCAGAATGCTATCTTTTCTACGTTTAGTTTGGATGTTGATACAATATCGGTGAATTCCAGGGGAAGGGTACGGGAAGCTTCGGTAAGAGGAGGAACAAGACCCACACTCTCTGCGTGAGGTGCGGCCGCCGCAGCTTTCACCTCCAGAAAAGTCGCTGCGCCGCCTGCGCTTTCCCCGCCGCTCGCAAGAGGAAGTGTAAGTCTTACCTTCCTTTGGGTTGCTTGCTACTAGTTGTTAATCAGCTTTGTTTTGGGTATTCTTTATTTTTCTTCAGATGAATTTGTATATTGTATCGGCGCGCGCGTGATTACCTGCTCTTGGGTTACTTTTAGAAGTGAAGTTCTTTTTCAAATAAAGAAAGTTACATTTTTGTAGAAAAATTCGTTATTAAATGACAATTGATTATATTGGGCTCCTTCGTTATTGAAAATTTGGCCTGTATTGAATGTGGTACATTTGTCTTGTGATGACTCTGTCTTTGTGTGTGTGTGTGTGTGTGTGTGTGAATGGCCGTGATTGAGGTGCTTATTGGAACTTAGAAGTAATCAGCTTTTATTCAAGCTATGAACAAAAGACTTGCAACTAGGTTTTATTTATTTTTAACGTATGTAATGAGGCTTTTTCTTATCATACGATTCCAGACAACTGGAGTGTCAAGGCAATCCGTAGAAAGACTACAGGAACTGGTAGGATGAGGTACTTGCGAAACGTGCCTCGCAGATTCAAGAGTGGATTCAGAGAAGGTATTTAAATTATGTTCTTAATTTGATTTAGTGGAGATCTTTTTCTTGAATATTTATGTTGAAATTAAATCGTCTTTGTGGGTTGTTGCCCTGTTCATGACATTATTGGATTGTTTGTGCTAGGTACCCAAGCCGCACCCAGGAAGAAGGGAGCAGCTGCCACTGCTTAAGTTTCTGGAAGATTGTTGTTTTTCTGAATCTGAGTACTGATTTTTCGGCCTTGGAACGTGCTTCCTGGTTTTTCGGCCTCATTGCTTGTCATTTTCATTTCCATTAATATGTAGTTTCCATAAGTTTGAACGAGATTATAAGATGTTTTGTTTATTCTACGAGAGTTTAAGATCTATAATTTTTTCCCCCTTCATTGCCTTGTCGTTGCGGAAATTATATGACAATTTCGTACATAGCAAAATATGAAAAGTTTCAACTTTTGGCGTGGCGAGGCAGTTTGGTTATCTGAGATAAATCCTGGGTTTGATATGGTATGAACATAATTTGGTTTACATGTCATGCATTGGCTCAGATTGTCTTCACTGACAAATGACTATGTAAGTATTAGTTGTCTACATGAATAACATAATCCTTTTGATCGAGGTAGTGACAGGTTTGTGTTGCTAGTCTGATTATCGTATTAAATGAGATAGTTGCAGGACGTAGTCACCGGAGTTTCTTAAATATTGATTGCCAATGCCCTTGTGAAAGTCCAATTGAGGCTTTTAAGCTTGTGCTTTAGATTTGGCTAGGTTTGTTTCTTGACGTAGGGGAGAGCTCTTCACATTCAAGAATGTGAATTGTTTAGTTGTGCATCATATACTGCATAGGGCTCAGTTAGGATTGATTATAATCATTTTTTGGAGTACAAGTCTATGTCTCTGTGGCAAGACTACCTAATGTCTATGATACCGATATTTCAAATTGTCAGAATGGCATCCAATAATGATATGCATTCATACTTTTTCGACATCTATATCTAATGTAACAGAACATTATTATTTAACTATATTTTAAATTTACTATATGTATTAGATATTTTTAAGTTGGCGTCCACACCTAACCATCGATAATTTAAGGCATTTTTTAAAATACAAATTATTTTAGAGTTAGTTATATTAATTTTTTTTACTTTTAATTTGTTATGATTAACTTTTGAAATGAAAGATTATATTTGATGAATGAGATGGCTTTCATGGTGTTGGAAATTTTGAAAGTGATTGGGTGTATAATTATGGTTTATTTGATATTATTATTATTATTATTATTATTATTATTATTATTATTATTATTATACTATATAAGCATGTTCTAATGGATAATTTTTAAATTGGAGTGATTTTTTTGTTTTTTTTGGGTTAATGACTAGTTGTTTTAGAGGCAACATCAATTCTCTTCTTTAGAAGAGTTCTTCGATTTGAACAAGATAATATGCTTGTATGCGGGGGCTTGTCTCTTTTTTGTTAGGAGAAATGTTAGGTTAGGAATAAAATTTTAAAAATTAAAATAATTTTGTAGTGTCATGTGATTTTTTATTTATTTATTAAAGGACTTTAGGAGCAAGGATGCAACAGGAAATGTCGAATTTTATATATTTTTTTAAAAATAAAAGTATCAAAGATTTGCATAGTATTATATTTGTTTCATTTATAGTATCTATATAATATAAATCAATATTTAACCAATTTCATGGATTTTAAAAAATGATAACTAATGTTTAATTTTTTTAAAAATGTCCTTTTTTTTTAACTTTCTCTTTACTAAAATTAATGATCACAATAAAATGCATTGAATAGAAAACCGAATCGATTTTGGCTAGTGGACCGGTAACCTGGTGAACCAGCCGCTTGGTAGGTCTGGTTCAACACTCAAACCAAAGGGAACTTGACTTGGATTTACCCGGATGAATTGAGGATGACCCATTCAACAGCTCTTTTTGCCTCCCAAACGCCAAAACGACAATGTTTGATCTTCTGGTTGCCTTTAAAATTGTTGGTGTATGTTTGGATAAGGATTTTAATCGATTTTTTGAGTAAAAAAAATTGATTTTCCACTTTATTACCCAAACATCAATTTCCCAAAAAATTGATTTTTGGAGGAAAAATCAATTTTTTTCCAAAGCAAGAAGATTCAGCTTCTGCATCTTTTGTTACAAAATTATATAGAAAAACTATAAAAAAAGCCCAAGAAAAAAAATTATAAAAAAGACACAAAATTTAATAAAAATAAAATCAAACTTTTTCCGCTTCTTTTTTTTTAATAGAATTTAAACTTTAAAATTTTAAAAAAGTTATAAGTATAAGTTCCTATCAACTATCATTTTCTACTTAATACTTATTATAAAATTAATTTAAATAAAATATTAATTGATAGAGGATATGTTATCAAAATTTTTAAACAGTGATTAACATTTTCATTAAATATGGCTTATATTCGTGATACATTAGAGATCAACTTATACATTATCATCTTCATTAATTATTGTAAAGTTGATGTTTGATATTTAAGAATTAAATATTTTTCTTTTATTAAATTTATTTGAATTAAGATTTATTAAGTAATTGAGTTATTTATTTACGTAAATTAAAATTATTAATATTAATATAATTTAAATTTTTATAATTAATCATATATATAATTTAAATAATATATTTTACTTTTTAAATATTAAATATAATTTTATCAATAATTTAATTTTAAAGAGCAATATCCCTTATGATAATTTATACAGTTAAAATTAATTTTAAATAAATTATCCAACATATTTAATTCTATTAAAATTAATTTTTTAAAAAATAATATCTAAATATATTGTATTATAATATAATTAATTATAATTAAAATTTATTATTTAATTAATTATTTTTATAATTTATTATGCTGAATTGAAATCTGAAAGAGCACTTATTTGTGGGGGTTAATTGTTTTCTTGAGTCTTTCTTACCCTAAACCCCCAAATTCTCTTCCTGTCTTCCTCCGTGTTTGGTCTGCAGCTCCGATGTTGTGGCTTTGCAAGGTTCAAGCTTCATAATCGGAAGTCAGTCGTCTGTGTGTTTGTTCTGCTGCTTCATTGTCGTTGCAGTTTATGTCTCTGTTCTCGTCTCATTGACAAAATTGTCAAGCTTCACTGTCGTTCTCGTTCTCGACTAAGTTCCTATCTGCTGGTAATTTGCTCTTTCCCTGTGTCTTTGCGGTGGTTTGCTACTGGTGCTTGTGCCTTCATGCTTCAACTCCCTCGCTGCTGGTTGCTCTCTCCCTCCCACCCACTATCCATATTTTATTGAATATTTTATTTGCTGCAAATTACTGTTTGATAAATTTAAATATTGTTGTATTTTATAATTGATTAATTGTTATAATTTATTATTTTATCCATATTTTTTTTTCATGAATTCAGAATATTTTTATATATTTTTATTAAAATATATTATTTTAATTATGATTGGTCTGACGGTTTAACTCCAATTTGATCCTTAATTAGACTACTAACTCTTGAACCACTATTTCAATCAGTTTTGATGACCGGTTCGGTTTTTAATATTTTGATAAAATGCATTAAAGAATTAAAAGTTTACCAAAAACTTGACACAATTAAAGGAGTAATATTAAAAAAAAATTAACTACTATTTATTTATTTAGGATCAAATAAAATTTTAAAATTTTACCTATAATCAGGATCTGAAAGATTGTAGGTTACCGTGAGCAGCTCTGGCAATTCAATTGGTGCACTCATTAACCTCATGCCAAATATGGTCCAAACGCCAAGATAATTACAATCTAGTTTTAGTAAGGTGATTTCTTTTTTCTTCTTTTGCAAGCTAATTAGCAAAGTGATTTCTAAATTGGGTTTTGGTTCTGCAGTCTATTGATCATATTTATGTAGATGGAATTACCTTCCGATGAGTATTGAAGTTGTTTTGGATAATATTCTGTTAATTGAATTAGCCAGATAATCCACTCGAGGAATTGAGTTTGTGCGCTCACAGCAATTTATTATTCTCATTATGGGACGTTAATGGTGCTCACTTCCTTGATTCATTATTCTCAATAATAAATTGCTGTGAGCACTAGAATCAAAAGGTACATCTAATTTCTAGAAAAGCTAAAACAAGATACAACTAGACTTTTAATTTATTTACTTATTCTTTTACAAATCATCCTCATATTTACAGTCAAATTAGATTCTAACTAATTTAGATTAGAGTTCGGTCAGACTTCAGATTTAGTAATTATTACAAAGGTGTTTCCTGTACTGTACATGCTCGAACCCAAAGCTTCTTTTCAAGTGACTATAGCCTTTTTCCACCAGGACTAATGCTTGCTCATATATCTAGCCAAACGGTGCTGAATCCAGAAATTGCATGAACCCGCAAGATGCATGGAGACTGATGCTTGCTTGGTTGCAGAGACAAAATGGACAACCAGTACCATCACAAAATTAGTGTAACATGTGGATAATCTATCTAATTCCTATTGAATTTGCCAAACTTATGCTTTTCTTCGTGTAGTTGCTTGAATAAATAATCTAGTTCTGGAAATGCTGTCACCATTAGTAATTCAACAATGTCAAAAGCCAGCTGCTTCAAACAAACAGATGACTGCAGGAATAGAGTTAAAACCCATTACAACTATGCAATGTTATGTTCAATCAGTAGAGCTGGTAATTCTAAATCCCAACCAAAAATATATTGGTTCAATTCTCCTATTTCAGTAAGATGGAATTGAGATGAAAATGGCACCAACAAAACCTCTGGAAAATCACATAGGATCATTCAGTTAACCTGAAACATTGGAACTATCTGCTATAAACTGAAGAAGATCATGCTAGAAATGGAGGGAGATTAATCAGAGATATGTGTTTGCATCTCTATCTTTTTTCATCACTTCCACTGTCAATAACTAGAATGAATATCAATAATGCTTTAATTAAAAGGGAAAAAAATCATGCTATTGAAGTGACAAAAAAAAAATCTACTGTCATGTTTTTATCGAAGAAACTAACGTCAAAAATTACCTGAAGAAAAAAATAGAGATGTCTGGCACACCGTTCATACTCCTTGCGACCAACAAGACCTACAATTGCTGTTGGTGCATGATCTACATGCACAGAAATGTTAACACTTTGATTGACAGAAACCAGTTGCAACACTATCAATTCTGAAGATAACTGGAGAATTAACAGTGCAACATGTATTACCAATCATTAGCTCATACACAAACTTCGCACGACGATCTTCCTCTTGCTTTTGCTGCTCATCCTTCCTTAAAGAAGATGAATCTTTAGGTTGCTGGCCATGAGGTGAATTCTGAGATGGGCTGGAAATTGGTGGTGGCCTTCGACTTGGATGCTTGGTTATGAATATTCCATCAGGCCAGAGTATCTATACATAGGTCGTCCAACAACTCATATCAGCATCATATTCGTCTAACATGCTATTTAAAGTCAAGTTTTTTTTTTCCCCATGAACCAATTCACCTAAACTTCTTTTTTTTTTTTCTTTTTAAAAAGCCAAGTTTTTCTTCCTCAGGAACATTGTCCTGGTCGTATACAGATAAAACCAAATATTTAACGGATGAATTACTTTCTTCCCCCTTATAATGCCCAATATACATAAATCTCCCATCTGCTTTGAAAAATTGCAGTACCCTCCCGCAAGCTTTATTTTAAAAAAGATGGGCTATACTTACTTCCCCTGCGCTGAAAAACTAAGTTAAATAGAGAACTAATGGCACAACATGTTTTATTATCTAGGTTGTATAAAAAATGAAAATACACCATGTTTCAAATATTCAAAGTGTGAATTACTCTCCTCTAATTTAAAAAATGTCCAAAGATATGATATTCTCTTTATGAAAAATTATACTCCACTTAAGCTTGAAGTTAAAAGAAACTCTAACTTCCTCTACCTCTACAATTAAAATAAATAAATAAATTACAATTAAAAATTATACATATTGTATAAATAACATACTAAGTATTATATGTTACATATAAAATAATTACTTTTTTGGGAGTGGAAATACTCGTTCTTTTCTTTTTAAAAGAAAATAGACTAATGACTTACAAAACAAAATAAATAATATTGAAATAAAAGTCTAAAAGGGAGATATTTACAAGTAAACTATATTGTATTTTTAACAAAAGAAACCAAAAATATTCTTAGAGCTATGTTAGACATTCCTTGACTCCAATAAAGGTTCATATATATGTTCATCATAGAAGACACAATTATGTACTTCGAATCTCTTTGGGGTTTGGCCAAAAAAAAAATCTTTGGGGAGGAGAGAGAAATTTATCCATGTCTAAATTTAAATGTCTGAAGAGACTCAAAACAACATAAATTCTCAAAAAGTGAATGGTCTTTAGATTACTTTTTCAACTCGCCTGATCCCGGAAGCAATCACTGACCCCTTACGGAGAAGCTGGATTTTGGCTAGCAACCAATCATCAAAGGCATCACCCATTCCTAGTTGTAGGATCTGTTTAACAACCCAAAAAACTTTCCGCCTGTAATGTGTACAAAACATACATTGTAAGTATATGAGCTTGACATTGGATCCAAAACCAAACATCTTAGTAAAAGCTATGGACATGAAAGAAATATGATTTTTCAGACTACCTAATCCATCCACCATCTTGAAGCTGGAAGATAACACCGACCAGATCCAATACGGGAACACTCAAATTTGGAGGCACCCACTGCACAGAAGAATTAAATTTAATCAGAATCAAGATGCAATCATGCATATGATAGTGTGCCTAAGACGCCAATGATGATCAAGCATCATTGTTTCATAGTGTATGACACAAATGTCACGATAAATAGGCATATCTAGAACCAAATATTTGGATTTATCTTAGAATCACCTCTCTAGGAAGAGCGTCAGAGGTATCATGGACTAAATCAGACACCTCAATCGAACCATCAGGCTCTTTCCCTTTCACTGTCTTTGGCAAGTTCTCAGGAGAAGTGTCACTCTTCTCTGCTCTAGTACTTGTATCAATGCCAGAATTTTCAAATAAGCCCTGAGAATCCTTTCCAAGAACAGCCTGATTACTAACAACAAAGTTCTCTCTTCTGAAGGCAAAGAGGTCCCTTACAGAAAAATCGGAGGTTCTTTTACTTTTCTCGGATGGTTTATCATCCATGTCAGCTAGGGTGGTTTCCAATAACCAAAAAAAAAAAAAAATACAAAGTCAAAAGAAGGGGAGATCTTGAAATACGCATGTCAAACAATAACCATTAAACATGAATTACCTGGCAATGTTTTGACAATGGAAAGCAAATTTGAGAAACGGTATGTCTGCAATATAATGTAATAGCAAGAAATAAGCCAGAATATTAAAAATTAAAAATAAAATAAAAAGGCAAAAAGTGCTGGTAACAAAGGAAAACTTGTTGGACATGAAAACAGACCTGAGAGTCGACACTGAGAAAGTCCCACGCTTCAATTGATCCTGAAACTATTGGAAGCTGCATAAGCTCCTAAAGAGCAAAAGGACACGAATCAATAAAAATAATCAAGGTATGAAATGACATGATCAGCAAATAGAGGAAAAGAATTCTGTACTATGGATGCGTAGGTGATATCTCAAAGTATGGATCATTCATATTTAACATCTATCCTGCTGGTATCAAAGTATTGATGATTCCAATTTTATCACGAGACTGAAACAGGATAATTTGATCTTTAATTAACATTCATCTAGAATAAGAACCTACCAATCAGTCAAAGAAACAATTGGAGACCTGAAAATGAGGGTTTACATTATAACATAGAATCCACAAGAAAAAAAAACAGAGAGAGAAAGTCAGAAGAAACTTTGTTCAAAATTATACACTCTCTGGTCTTAAATATAAGAAACAGATGAATACCTCAAGATTAAGAAAAGTTGTCATCCATCTTAAATGTGTCATAAGTTGAAATTTTTTCCCACAAATGGCCCCAATTTCATGTATAAACTTCTATCTTTATAATATGATTCTTAATTACTACTCTCAATTTAATGAAGCACATAATTGGAAAAATGTAATTAATGCTCTAAACAAAGCTTTTTGTGTCTTATAATTTGGAAAAGAGCAAGTTTCTTAAAATACTCTTATATTCAAGACTGGAGGTAGTATTATAATCCTGACATATCTTAAGCATAAGCACATGATTTAAATTAACAGGGAATCAACAAATTAAGTTTCTGACCTTTAAATAAATTTCCAACAATTTACAACGCTCCTGAACAACTGTTACATCTAAACCTGTTGTTAGAAAATGTTTCGGAGGCAAATGAAGGTTATAATCAGGAAACTCTTTCAAGCGCCAATGTAGCTCCTCAAAATGACGAAACCTTAAAAATAGAAAAGAAGCATCACAAATGTAAGCTTAAAGAACATATAAGAAGACAACTTTAAAATGATTAATATTAAGAACAAATCTATGAAAGACTAAGAAAACTTAGCACCTCCTTTTAATTGTCCAACTTTTATTATTTACATCTGTTACAGATATGGAATAAACAGCAAATGTTCTTGAGCCACTCTTCACAATATCCGCACCTAAGACCTGCATCAGTAAATTAGTTTACAATTTTTTAAATAAAAATGTATTAGAATAAAAAAAAAGGAGAATTACATCCAGCCCCCTCTCAAGGAAATTAATCACAAATAAGAACAAACAAGAAATCCCATTCGAGAAAAAACAAGTCATGTTCCCATTTTAACAACAACTCATTCCGCATTGATCTTTATCTGTGATTAATTCTCTTGAGAAGGGGCTGGATGTGATTTTTCCAATAAAAAATCAAGCATTATCTATTAATGGAGCTTCATAGAATTAAGGTAAGTACCTCACATCTCAATTTGAAAAAGGAATCTACTGGCAGTGAACTTTTCAGGGGATTAACAGCCACATTGCAAGGTTCTGACCTAGAAATAGAGGATGCTGAAGAAGAAGCTGCTGCTCCACTGTGTATTCTACCCAAATTATCAACATCAGGATCATCACTGGAGTCCCCAGAACTTACATTTGATTTTGGAGACCTAAGAATATCCTGTTCATCTCCAGAAAAAAAGCTAGTTCTATTAACTTCGTGCATGTTATGACCACTTGACCTTGATCTTTTCCAGCCAAATCGGGTTCTGGGTGGTCTATGATAGCATGATTGCATCTTATTCATCTTTGTACCATGACTGTCAAAATTTTCTAGCGGGTGATGAATGAGAGAAATGGCCCAATTTCTATTTCTTCTTCCATCCCAAACTTTAGTTCCAGGGGAACTGAGCCTGGTGATTGTGTTAGTTTCATCATCTTCAGAAGTACTGCTCTCTGAATCAACCATCAGCAGACGCATGTGGCTTTGGCCATCATCCTGTGATGATGTAACTGATGGACAAGTTGATATACTCCTGTCTGCACAAACAGGTGTGTCTTCTACTGTAAGCCGATTACTGCACCCCAAATTAGCGGTAGCACTGGTACCATTGGAGAGATTAAGTTTAAAGTTAGTTTCCTTTTCTTCAGGTCCTGGTATCACCTTCTTATGATCACTTTTTGGCAATTTTCCTACCACTTGTTGCAGGACAAGCTCCCTTGACTGATTCTCCCGATCCATGTTCTTGTAACCTCTCCCTTTTGTCCACATGTTCTCAAAATGTTCTGGAGCAAGAGTTTGGGTCATTCTCTGGGACATGAGATCCAAGATATCACCCCACTGCCCTCTTGAGTGATATTGTTTAACACTTTGATTATCATTAATTCGGGAGTTTGATGGCAATGACTTCCACAAAAGTGCTAATAGAGCATCAATTGAACGCAATGGATCTTTAGAAAAAGTATCAACAAAATTATCTTCCACAGATGACTGTGCATTTCTGGAATGACTATTTCCTAGCTGTACCAGCTCTAAACCAGTAATAGAAGAATTTAAAATCTTAGGAAAACGATCAGAAGATATCTTCAATCTATCTTCTGTGGAGTGAGATGCTTCCTGAACTGCATTAGCTGCTTTTTTAAGTTTGGTCTTATTAATTACAACAGATTCAATTCTTTCGTTAACAAATCTGCCAGTGAAAAGAAAAAGGGGAAATGAGAATACAAACATAGGCTAAAAATCAAGCAAAATAATGTTACCTTGGACTGGCTAAGTTGAGAACAGGTCTCATCACTGCATGCACAAGTAGTTCTCGAGCAGTGTGTCGAATGGAAGAGCACTGCAAATCCTCATGCTTGAAAGTGACTGACATAAGACCTTCCATCAAATGCTGCAAAACCTGCTAATTAAGAAAACATAGCATTATTCCTCGAACTTAAGAAGTAAGAGGAATAGATTTTATGCCTACTGAATAAGATTTAATCATTCATCATTCAGTGTAAGTAGATTATACAATAAAGTGGAGAACCTTATGCTCGGCTTCAGCAGAAAATAAAGCAGGATGCAATTTGTCCTCTGCAGCCAAAGCAGGTTTCAATTCTGTATCTAGAGATTCAATTGTTAAAGGAGATGAAGTTTGCTTTTCAATTTTTGCTAAAGTAGCACGAAACACCTCCAAGTGTGTGCAAATGAGATTAATAAGATCACTGAACCACAGAGTAAAAGCTAATAATCAGTCATTCAGTACATAGCACAGAAAATATCATGGACAAGCAACGAAGCAAAGAACCTCATCAAAAGATCAATCAGGTTTATATTCCTCATCCGTCCTGAAAGCTCTCCAAGAAAACCAATTATTATTTGCACTAACTCCTCAGGACCCTCTCTATCTGGTGTCAAGCGAGAGTACCACTGGTTAGTCACCCACTCAGAAACTAGATGTCTAGTGAAGTGATCCATTGCTTCCTCAACAACAGGAGAATTCACCTTTTCTCTCCAATCTGACTTTGCAACAACTTTAGGAAATTCAAGAGGTTTCTTTGAAGACTGAGCTGTGGTTGTACACGGTCTACTGTTATATAATGCAGCTTTTCTCTTCATATCAAAATCTAGCAATAGATAGCGGAGAATAACAACAAGGGAGGTAGCAACTGGTAAGTTTACCCAAACTGATGAGCTTGTCACTGAAATTTAAGAAAAAGAAAAAGTCAATACCAGTACCTGGAAACAAAATTATCTCAAAATCAGTAAGTACAAAATACAAAATGTTGTTCTCCAGACAATGAAGAAGTTAAAATTTTTAAAGTATATATCTACTCTTAAAAACTGAATGTTTATTGGAAGTAAAAGAAAGCAACCTTAAAACAAGGATAAGAATTTGCATCCCACGAGCTGCAGAAAGTGGAAAAGATAGGTATGGTCTAGTGGTGAGGGATGTGGTTAATTAAGAAGAGATCTGTCGAAACTCGACTGTCATATACCCCAAAAAATAATAACAACCACTTAAAGCTTCAGCATTCCAAATCAAGCAAAGTTTTCAAGAACCTAGGGAATAAGGCTTTAGCAGGAAAACTGGGTCAGTCCCAGTTCCAATGAAATTTTTTGACATGGAATGAATAGTAGAATGTCAATGCAAATAACGAACCCTATCAAACTTAGGAGCTAAACCAAACTGTAGCGCCATAAATACACCATGAACCTGTATTCTAAGAATTAAGCACACAGAACTGATTGAGCAACCATTCCTGGCTTGATAAGTATTCTAGACTTTGCTTAGTAGAAGTCAAGCATAGATATTTCCCTTGGGAGGGGAAAAAAAAAGTTTCCATTGTGATCCTTGCAAGGGAAACTTGTAGGCCCAGAATATGGACCAAATCACATATTCACATCTAAATTCACCATAAGAATAGAAGAAAAACAAAATAATGTTGGATATATGATTCTGTATCCTGAATCCAACCACCATGTTAAAATAAATTGGTTTCTGACCCTTAGTATTATAAGATGAAAGTACCCCAATCCCAAGATTACATTGTAGTACATACTAAATGCCACCATGTTGGTCCCACCATTTTTCGCTTGTGATAGGACTGTAACAACCATGATATTTAAATGCTTCATGAAAAGAGTTGCAAGGAAAACCAAACTAGATAAGTTACAGAGTTAAAAGAACACACTAACAAAGCTTCTGTTTTAGTCATTTCCAAGGATGCTTGTTGTGTTAAGCTAAATTGAATTTTCATTTTTAAAAAAAAATAAAAAAAGTACACTGATAATATCTATATAGCTTAACAAAACATGCATTCTAGGACATGACTAATACAGAAACACACTTTAGACGGAGCAAGGGCTTGCAGTATCGCATATAATAAAACATAAAAAACGTCTAGATTACCCATTCTGGACCCAAATGAGCTATAGAAGGAAAAATCGGAACTTCTAATGCATAAGCTGGAAAACTTCTTTTTCTTTCTTTTTGGAGAAAGAACAATAAAATTAAACGATAAAAAGATTAGAATACAAACTTCCTAGCCACTGGCCACGAAGAAATGTCTGACGGAACAAAGAGATTAACATCATTAGAAACACTAGTTCTAAAACCTCTAGAGCATCTAACAAAGCAACTTATATCAAAATATTCTGGAGAACTTACACGACATGAGATATGACAGACCCACGACGCATATGACTAGAAAAACAATCCGTTTCTTCCCTTCCTCAATGAAGTCTCTTGCCTTCATCTGGTTCGGCGTGCTCATAACAAAATTAATTCAAGTTGACCAAACGTCCCTCTTCTATCGTTCTCAGACCCATGATGCGCAGGATCGTGCAATGAGAAGTCATTAAATGACCGCAATTTAACTGATAAAATACGAAGAAAACTGACGGATGGAGATAAGGACAAAATGAGGTAAAAGAGAGAGCAGAACACTGTGCCGAAGAAATTCAACGCTATGACCGTTAGGTTTTATGTTTGGAATTATCGTGTTTGTTTGCATGTGGCGCTGGGTGTGGGTATATATTGATTATTTCCACCCTTTCCTTGTGAGTTTCCATTGTACTTTCTCAAAGTTCTGATACAAATTGAAACTTCAACTACTCTACGGGTGCTTTGCCGGCGCAATTCAGACGCTGAGTTATATGTATAATTGCTCATAATTTATGAACACTGTCTGCCAGACAAATAATATTTAAAAAGATTAGGAAAAAGATGAACTGAAATACAAATTGCTTTAGCAAACTACAAATCAAATAAACATTAAATGGGGGGATCGGAGTTCATGTAACCTAGGAAGTTCCACAGTATGATTTCCTACAAATTTATTAGATGTATAAATGATTTTTGGATAAAAACCTTTGTTTTTGTTTTATTTCAGTTGCGAAGATGAATTTATAATCCTAATTGTGGTTCTATACTTCCGTGAGAGTTTAAGGTATCAATTTTTTTGCTGAACAGGGTAATGTTTGTCTGTTTGTTTGGTTTTTTTTTTTTTTTTTAATGAAATGAATTTTAGGGGTTAGCCAATGATTTAGGTCATACTTTGAAAGAGTTTTTAGGAGGTGAAATGGCTCGGTCACTCTAAATTTAATTTATCATGGTTAAAAAAATCAACTGGTTATTGAACTTGACGAAATATTAATTTAAATATTCTAAAATATTAAAATGGCTTAAAATAAATATAGAGTTATTTGTTTTGGCCAAAAATAAATACAGAATTATTAAATTATCCTCATACTGCACACGAAGCTTTCCTCTTATTTTCTCCAAATAATTCAAGGTAAATCGTCTTCTTTCTCAAATTTACTTCACACTTAATTCGTTGTTGTTTTCTTTTCTCTTATCTCTGTATCTATTCTTTGAATCTGTGTTGCGTTTCTTCCATACACCGAATTTGGTTAATCTTTATCTGTTCATCACGAACGGTTTGATTGTTGTTTGTGTAGAAATAAAGTTACAAGACAATATTATTTATACTCATTTATAGTTTATCATGAACGCTAAAAATACAATCCAAAATTGTATTTGAATTAACCAACAAATATTGTACGTTAAGTTGTTAACTTTCTTCAGGTTATACGTACATGTATGTATACGTACATACATACATACATATTTGTGTGTGTATAAATTTTAAAAAATAAAAGGCGTGCAAGTACAATAATTTTATGTGGATTATTGTTGTTGTCGTGGTCGTCATCATCATCAACATCAAACTATCATGCAAAACTAAAATTATGAAAATTTGTTCCACCACCAAAAAATAATAGTAATTTGTTTATATTATTCCAACTTAATCAGTCCATCTGAATGATATTAGAAAAGAAAACTTAGGTGCTATTTGATTTGTGTTTTCATTTTTATTTTTAAAAATATTTTGTAATATAATTTTTAAAATTGTCTTTTAAAACAAAATAAAAAATAAATCGGTTTAGTCAAATTAATTTAAAAATAATTTTAAAAATAAAAAACATGCAGATAATAATGGTTGGAAGCGATGGTTAATAATAGTAATTTATAATAGAAATTGATTAAACTAACTATATTTTTTAATAATCAAATATAATGTGTTTTGAAAACAATAAAAATAAAATAAAAATAACTTTAAAATGTTTTATTTTTCATTTTTAAAAATAAAAAATAGAATATTTTTCAAAATAATTAAATTTAAAGTATTTTGAGTTTTAATTTTTTTTGTTTTTAAAAATAAAAGATAGTTTTTAAAAACAAAAATCAAACAGGGTCTTATAATCCATTTCATCCCCTCTTATTTTCTTGTAACTCCTTCCTTAACAAAACTAGTAAACAACAAAAAAATTTCATTCCATTTCATTAATCACTATTTCACTCGATTACTCCTTTAAATCCTTTAAGGTACTCTTATTACATATAGATATATATATATATATTTACATGTAGATATACAAGTTAATATCTTAAATTTCTTAGTTTTAGTTTATTTTATCTCTAGAGCACGCAATTAAAGTTAGGAATAGTGGAAATGGTTAATTTAATTGAGGTTTAAAATTTTATTAAAAAATATATCTATATTTATTATCTATTGTACTCCAAACATAATTATATTTTGGTTTAATGAGTAACCTAAACCCTAAACTATTACATAAATATTATCCTGAATACTTAACTTTTGAAATTTACAAAATTTTTTCTCAACTTTTAAATTTGAGTACTTGAAATTCCATCATTAAATTAAAGAAAATTACTGTTATTTATATGAATTAAGATGAGTATTATATCAATGTGTGATTGGACCCCACAATTATAAAAGTAACAACGATTTTCTCCTACTTAACAGTGAGGTTTGAGATATTAGGAATTTAAAAATTAAAAACAGTCTTTACATATTTTAAGAGTTTAAAATTTAAAAAAATATTCTTTATATCTATTGAGAGAATACTTGTGTGTAAATAAAGGCATGCTTTTATGACTCAGCTTATGGACTTAGCCATCAGGATCGAGTATCCTAGCACTTTGCAATGCAAACGAATTATTTTTTATGTTGGGAAATTTACTGGGACGTCTCACACCAAGATTTCAATTATTTTAAAGTATCATAAAATATATAAATTGTTACTACGACTTAAATTCTCTATAATTATAATTTGATAAAAAAAAATAATAATTCGATATTAAATTTATGCTTAAATTGTCATTTTTTTCCTAAGCTATAAATGCATAAGATTTGATATTTGAAAGTATTTTATGAGATCTTTTAATTATTAAAATACTTACAAAAGATCTTGGAGTGATTTTTTCTTTTTATGTTTAAATTTTGTTGTTGTTGAGCTTTTATGTTTAAAATTATTGGATAAAATAATTAATACGCAATAAATGTATTACTCTCGAGCATTTAATAATGCAATCGCTCTTTTTTTCCCTCTCCCATGAAGTAAAGTTGTTGATGTGAAATTAACCTTCCCTTTCATGCATGTGAATGAATTGACGGGGAAACAATAAAGCACAAAAAGAGGAAGTATCATTGTGAAACTTTTACTCTCTTGATTCCGTACACACCGAATTTTGTTCAAGCACTAGTGGAGCTGGTAGATAGGATGGACTCGACCTACATTTTGGAAAAGATCAAATACATGCATTTTCGATAATTTTTTTCTTAAAGTTATCATCATTTATATTGTTTTAAACATAACCTAACCCATATCATGTATCTAATTCTTTTGGCAACTTGGAAGAGAATTTTGAACCTTGAATTGTACTACTCCATCCCTTGGTACCAATGCTAGATCCAATCAGCGTTATGTGTTTTTTAAACCCTTGATAATTCAAATGAATATTGTAACATTAATGAAGATATCACGGTTTCTTAAAATATGAATAATATTTTTGAGACTTTTTTTTTTTAAAAATCTAATAATCAATAGCAACACTTTTACAAAAATTGTATAGAGCTATATTATTATATAAAACTTTGTCTAATTTATATTTAAGTCAAGTTGGGTTGAACATGATAATTCTCTCAAAAATATGTTCTTACATTTGCATAAGTTTAAAACCATGATATCATGTTTGAGTGGTTATAACATATAACTTTATTAGTACTCGTCGGTTATTTTTTAATATAAAATGTCGAAAATCTGTATAAGAAAATAAATTAATTCATATCATAATTCAAAATAAATTTGCATCCGGCCATGTAATTTCAGAAATCAAGATTTTAAGATTGTTATTGGCAACGTGACGAAGAAGTCTTGTTTCATGGGACCACTTTATGTCCCTTGGAGATTTGGTGAACATTGCAGCAGTATTACCTATTAATCGAGGTGGAGGTGACTAAAACCTTCAACACCGATTGGCTCACCAAATGAAATTTGAATCATCATCGATATACACGTAAACTCTATACAAATATTTCTGAATCCTATTCTATTGCTTTGCTGTTTCTGTGGGGTTCAAGAGCCTAGTTTTTCCCATTTTTGTATATATATTTTTATCATTTGAATTTGATTATGTCTTAGTTTAGCTTTAGCACGTGTTATTGATGACTTATCGTTGATTGTTGATATCATGCTTTAAACCAGGTCTTTTTTTTCCCCCTCTGCCTCTAATTTTCTTGTTTCATTTTCCGGCTGAGTTAAGAAGAGGACGGCAAGGGATTTTTTGGGGAGGCAAAACGCAAAGGAGATCCCATGAAACGACACGACGTGACGAATCAACCTTCGCAGAATATAATCTTCCGTACAGAAATGTTTCCATTCTCAATTTTCACAGTGTGACTGACATGGTCCACCGCCAGTCCACCACATCCTGATCATCTCTCCCCATGTGAAGATACAATCTTCAATGTTGTAATTTGTGATATTTCCATTTTTCTCAATTCTCATTCTCTTTCTTTCTCGCTTTTTCCTCTCCCATTCACACTTGAACGCCCCAGCAGAAACCCTTCTTCTCCGGCGATGTCTTCGCCGTCTCCGGAAACATCTCAGGCACCCAACTCCACGTCTCCTCCTCCTTCGCCTCTTGTCACCACCAATGACACCTCTCCTCCAGCTCCGAATATTTCCACGTCACCTACCGCGACGCCGGCGGTGCCACCTCCTCCGGTCGAGCTTCCGACGCTGGTATCGGAATCAAACGGAATGTCCAGGGCTACAGTAATTGGACTAGTTATTGGGACTGTATTTGGCTCACTGCTCATGCTCGTTTGTGTGGGCATTTGCGCTTTTTGCTATAAAAGGAGAAAGCGGAGGAGGATGAGAAAACATGGGTTGGACGATTACTCTGCTGATCCTCCATCACAACCCAAAGGTAAGCTTTTCCTGGCTTCCTTTATGTAGTATGCAATTCCGGGCCCTTCAAAATTTTTGACAGGGTTTTGTCGTATTTTGCTGTAAACTTTAATACACATGAACGTTTTACCCCGTCCTTCTTTTAGGTGTATTTAATGGGTATAAGGAACATATAAGTTAGTTAGATTTGTCGATTTGTGCTCTGACAAGTAGAGTGAATGTCGCGTTACATTCTACGGTCTGTAATTAAGTGCTGGAATCTATTAGATTTATGCACTTGTTGACTTCAGTATACTGTTCCTGCCCTGGAGGGAAAGTCTCTACATTAAACAACGCACGGCGTATGTTTAATTTCAGTTACTCATTTTATCTTTTTATACTCGGCCTCGTTTGTTGGTTGAAAAAGAGATCTTTGTCGAGTAGGTTGACATTATCATTAGTTTAGGCGACATTGTGCTGTTTCTCATTTGTGCATTGTATTTTGGTTGATAGACTCTGGTTGGACAAACCTGTATTAGCTTAGCTGCCTCAAATAAGCTTTTGCCTAATCAGTTATACATAAATTTTGATTTCTTTTCTTTTTTTTTGTGTGTGGAAAAAAACATAAATTACATGTGAAATTGTCCCTAATCGTAGCACTCAATTCTTGATGCCAATTTCTCCAGCTGATCAGTTTGGTGGCCCGCCCCAGCAATGGCAGCATGGCATTCCTCCTCCAACCAATGGTCGAGCAACATTGCCTCCAAAGCCAAGTCCACCACCTGGAGTTCTGTTGAATCAGCAAGCATCGTCCACTAATGTCACTTCTCCCCCAATATATTCTACAAGTGGTACAAGTTTGGAATCTGAGAGACCATCCCATGCACCATCTCATGCGGTCACTTTGGGATTGTCACAAAGCTCGTTTACATATGAAGAACTTGCATTTGCAACAAATGGATTCTCAGACTCCAATCTTCTTGGTCAAGGTGGGTTTGGCTATGTCCATAAAGGAGTCCTCCCAAATGGAAAAACCGTTGCAGTTAAGCAGCTGAAATCTGAGAGCAAACAGGGGGAGCGTGAGTTCCAGGCTGAAGTGGAGGTCATCAGCCGAGTCCATCACCGACATCTTGTTTCCTTAGTTGGATACTGCATTGCTGGAGCCCAGAGGATGCTTGTATATGAGTTTGTCCCAAACAATACACTAGAATTCCATTTGCATGGTATGATTCCAATATTTAATCCTTTCCTCATCTTCCAAAATAGAGAAGCATGCGTAAGTGACGTGGAATGGAAAATAGCTTGGCTCTTTTTTCTTAGATAGGATTTTCTGAAATTGTGGTCACATACAATTTGAGATTTATTCTCTGTGCACTGTATCTCAACTTTCAATACCTTTTGGTTGTAAGGTATTTGGAACTAAGTCTTGATGTACTTATTGAAAACCATGAGAAATCAATATTTGGGGAAACTTTTCGGAAAGTTACTATTGCAGCTCCCTGTTCTGTGAGAACAACAATAGAGTAAACAAAATTACGAGCTCAAAATTCATTGCAGTTATGCATAAGTTGACAAGAACTCTGCCTTACTACCTACAATTCTAGCATTTGAAGGTTATAAATCAACGGTTAGGTTTAAGATTCAAGAATCAACATCTCAGAGTTTGTAGATTGCATTTGGAATTTAAGGTTGCAAAGAAATGGCGGGGAGAAGATTTGAAGATTTGTATGGTTAATCTGGGAACTAATGGTGTGGAATGCTGGAAAGGCTTTAGGATGTACTAGTTCAACTTAACCTAAAGTTTTCTCTTGCTTGTTCATAGCTAGCTTGTGATTTTCTTCCTGAAAATTTATAAAATGAAAGAAACATGTATGTAGAAAAATCATGAGGAGCACAGTTTTTGTTTGAAAATGCAATTTTATTCTTTTGTCACTTACTTTAGTTAAAGTGTTATTTTGATTTCATGTTATGGTTTTCTATGTAACTTTGCTTATGGTCTTTTGTGGAAAATATATCATAGACATGGTATGCTTATTGTTTAAGCTAAGTTGAAAGAGTAAACATGGTTATTTAATTTTAGAAATTCCCTTTATTGTCATGCATTGGAATTGAAATTTGCCTGACCTGTGTTGGCTATTGAGGGGCAAGGGGCTCCACTATTGAGTTGCAAATTTGATAATCTTACTGATAACGTATGAGCAAATGTGATGGTTCCATTTACAATCATTCCAGGAAAGGATAGAATAACAATGGACTGGGGAACAAGGATGAAAATTGCTATTGGGTCTGCAAAGGGATTGGCATACCTGCACGAGGACTGTGAGTTTGCTTTAGAATTTATATAACTAATTTAAAGGAGAGGCCCGGCAATTATTTTGGTTTGCTATGTTGGTCTTGGAATTTTTAGCCTTTTCTGTCTAATATTGCTCAGGTCACCCAAAAATCATACATCGTGACATCAAGGCATCTAACATTCTTCTTGATGACAATTTTGAGGCGAAGGTAGGATTTGTATCTTTCTAACCTTTTCAATCCCTTCCAATATATGTAAATTATGCAAAAGCAGCAATACCTTTAGATTCAAGCACTTACGTCCGTGTCTCTTATTCAGGTTGCAGATTTTGGACTTGCCAAGTTTTCATCAGATGCTGATACCCATGTCTCCACTCGAGTAATGGGAACCTTTGGGTAAATTTTATTGCGCTGAATCTTTTCTCTTGAATCTCGCCATGAAATACATTGATTGGGAAGTATGGTTCTTTGACCCCTCCCCCTTTTATATTAACTGTTCGTGGCATTTGTTTTTTTCAGAATTCTGATTTAATTTAATGCAGATACCTGGCTCCAGAATATGCTGCTAGTGGAAAACTCACTGAGAAGTCAGATGTCTTCTCCTTTGGTGTTGTTCTTTTGGAGTTGATTACAGGGCGAAAACCTGTAGATAAAACTGAGTCTTTCACAGATGACAGTATGGTTGAGTGGGTGGGTACAGTACTTCATCAATATTTCTCTCTTAAGAAACAGATTATTTATGGTGTAGTACAGTAAGCATGTGTGTATATTGAGTTTGTTATTATTATTATTAATTGTATGTACGTAGAGCAGGGTGGGTCTGATTACTGTTTTTACTACTTACAATCATTACTGTTAATATTTTATTCAAATTTGGATTTGGGTATTTTGCTTTCATTTTTTCTTTCATTGGATGTCTTTTCCAAAATCAGTATTTGCTGTGGGTTTTTAGAAACTCATGCAACCATTTAACTGTGTAGTTTGTACACTGGTTCACTTTCATAGCAAATATGTGGTGAACTGAAAATCTACAAAACTGATTTGCTTTCTTCTAACCATTTCAAGATGTTGAGTGTGTGTTGAACTGAGCTAAAGTTGATAACTTGTAATGAATAGTTAAGATAAACTGGTATACAAAACATTTGTCAATTTTTAAATTGTCTATCGGCATTCAGCAATACCTTTGTTGACTGAACTGATGGTTAAAAAAATCTGCTATAACTTAGTAATGAATAGGTGATATAAATATTGTACAAATTACAGGCAAGACCATTACTTTTTCAAGCTTTGGAAAATGGCAACTTTGATGTCCTTGCTGATCCAAGGTTGCAGAAGAGTTACAACTCTGATGAGATGCTTCGAATGATTGCCTGTGCTGCAAATTGTGTGCGCCATTCAGCTAGGCATCGGCCTCGAATGAGCCAGGTCAGTTATCCAAGTGTAGAAATATGTCCTTAGTTACCTGTTATTTTCTATTGTTGAATTGCTTTGGACATTCTATTTCTAGCAAGTGTGTATGAATGACAAATTCTCCTAACTGTGAATCAACCTATTTCTCTGAAAAGAAGAGAGTCCAGTGTTGACTCACATTATATTGTCAAAGTTATCACAAGCTATTGGCAGATGTATGCTAGAATGTCATAATATTCTGAAACCTAGAGATCCAGTGCTTGCATGTAACAATTAAGATGACTGGCATAAAGCAGGTAGTTCGTGCTCTAGAAGGCAATATTTCTTTGGATGATCTGAATGAGGGAAGCACAGCTGGGCACAGCAGAGCATTTGGCTCCTTTGAAAGTTCAGGTTATGATACTGGCCAATACAATGAGGACCTAAAGAAGTTCAGAAAGCTGGCACTAGAGCAAGAAACTAGTGAATACAGTGGGCCCAGTAGCGATTATGGTCAACATCAGTCAGCCTCAAGCAGTTCTGGCCTGCAAAATGCACAAGAAAAATAATTGGGAATATGGAAGGGGAGATTCACCAAGTTTTGGTTAAAACCTTTGACTCTGAGTTCTCATGAATTGAAGAATGAGGATGGGTACTTAGCTTCATTTGTTGCTTCCTTCACAAAAATGCAGTCGTTGGTAAATATTATTTGTTGGTAGATTTTTCAGGTTCAGCGTACAAATTGGTTTGTTCGTTGATATCAACAGTATAATTTATTTCAGAAGTATGATCCTCTTGAATTATGTAATTCAAACGAGTGTAACATGGGTTCACCTTGGATGCTAACATCTACTGAACAAAAGAAAGCCGTGACATTTGGACAAGGTTGAATCTGAATTTGTTTGGGTTATGTTGTAATGATGCATTATACAGTTAGATTGCTGGCATTGATTTTCTTGTAGGTATTGATGTTAATATTATGAGTGATGGTGGTTACACGTTTTTGATATGACTCTTGCTATATTTATCTTTGTTTCTCTGATTAAGCATTGGGCAAATGGAAGATTAGAAGTTGAATGATCCCATGAGGTCATGATTTTCATGGCAGCAATTTTGATGTGTTAAGGTGAGTTTGATGCTGTATTTAAGTGATTTATCTATGCACAATTCAAAATATATATATATATATATATATATATAATATTAAGTAGATGACCGTATACCAAAAGAAGTGCTTTGGAAAGCGTTGGAAAAAAAGGGAGTACGGATTGCTTATATTAAAGCCATACAAGATATGTATGAGGGGGTAAAAACTAGTATAAGAACGCCTAGTGGTCAAACAAAGGATTTTCCTATAAAGATTGGACTACATCAGGGATCATCTCTGAGTCCTTATTTGTTCAACTTGATTTTAAATGTTTTGACGGAACATATTCAAGAGGAAATCCCGAAATGTATGCTCTTCGTGGATGATATAGTTCTTATAGCAGAGACAAGAGAAGATGTTAATTGCAAACTTGAGTTATGGAGGAGGACATTGGAGTCGAAAGGTTTTCGTTTGAGTAGAAGTAAGACGGAATATTTATATTGTAAATTTGGTAAAGGACTATTCGAAAATAATTTGGAAGTGAAATTGGGAGATCAAATTATACCTCAAGTGGAAAAATTTAGATATTTGGGAGCCATTATTCAAAATGATGGCGAAATCAGTGGAGATATTTCACATAGAATTCAAGCTGGGTGGTTTAATTGGAGAAAAGCTAAAGGAGTTATTTGTGACCGTAAGGTGCCTAATAAACTTAAAGGAAAGTTTTATCGTACTGCTATCAGACCGGCAATGTTATATAGTAGTGAATGCTGGGCTCTAACGGGACAGCAAGAGCATAAAGTTGGAGTAGCAGAGATGAGAATGTTACGATGGATGTGCGGACATACACGTAAAGATAAAATTCGAAATGAGCACATACGTGAAAAAGTGAGGGTGGCACCTATTGAGGAAAAAATGGTAGAAAATCGGTTGAGATGGTTTGGGCATGTACAAAGAAGACCAAGGGAGGCACCAGTGAGAAGAGTGAAACATAACTTTGAGTCCGATTAAGAGAGGTAGAGGAAGGCCTAAGAGAACACTCTTGGAAGTTGTTGAACGTGATCTCTTAATTAATAATATTTCTAAAAGCTTAATAAATGATAGAGCACAATGGCGTCTTGCAATCCATGTAGCCGACCCCACCTAGTGGGATAAAGGCTTGTTGTTGTTGTTGTTGTTGTTATATAATATTAAGTAGAATCAGAATCAGTGGTCTTATTTGTTAAATATAAATAAGTATGAAATTAACTTACCCTTAAGTATTTCTCTATTATCCCAACTTCCCATTAATTTATTCATAATTTCAAATTTTGAAGTTAAAAATAATAAGCAAATTATGTGTAGCTTCATCTCCAAAATCTTTCCAATATCCAAACTTTCCAACTTCTTTTTAATAATTGTTTATGCTTTTATTGGTTAAATATAAATAAATATAAAACTACATTTCTCCTAAATATATACCATTATTTTAATTTTCTGTTAACTTATTTATTATTTCAAATTTCTATGTTAAAAATAATAAGTTAATTATGTGTAATTTCCTCATCTTTAAAAATCTTTTAATTATCCAAACTTTCCAACCTCTTACTCTCAATTTTAAATTTTAAATTTAAATATCTTGCAAAATTATTCAGAAATTTAATTTTCTATTTTAAAAATATAACGAAATTTTTTATGATAAGTAAACTTTGTGTAACTCACCCATCCTTGAAATTCTCTCCATTATTCTAACCTCCTAACTTTTCGTTTATAATTTAGCTAAAATATACATTCAATTCTTTAATTTTACATAAGATTTTATTTTGATCTTTTAATTTTATAAAATATTTTTTAGTCCTTTGATTTTAACACTGTTAGTTTCATTATAAAAAATTTATATATTAAATTCATATAATTGTTGCCTGTTGAAGCCTAGCGGATACTTGTATTAACGTAGAAGTTGGATAGAGAAATTTAGATATACTTCGTAGATGAAGGGAAACTTAACTCATTCATATGAAAAAAGTGTTTGTGTTGAATTTTGCCTTAAATAACAGGCAGTTCGAGCTTTAATGGAAAATATTTGCCGGGATGATTTAGATGAAGAGGATACACTGAGGTGTTAATACAACCAATCGGCCAAGACGTTGAAGAAAGGATATAGCAAAAGCGAACTGACCCAACTTCAGCCTACTTCAAGCAGCTCAGGCTTCAAAACACTCCATAAGACATGAAAGTTGATGCTGAACAGCAGCTCACGATAATCCAAAATCTCACAATATATTAGTCTATGAAGAATAACACTAATTGAAATAATCTTATAATGGAAAAAAAATTTCAATTCATAAACTCAAATCAAGTATTAAAAAAATATAAATGATTTAACTGTTTAAATAGAATTCTAAAAAGCTAAATGACACAATCTTAATTAATTTAAGATTTTAAATGGATAGATCATATCCTAATGAATATATTTTATCCTTATTTGAATTAAAACAAAATATGCTAATTTTCCTAAACTTAAATTTAAAATAAAATAAAATAAACTAATTTTCTAAAGTTAAGAAAATAATAATAACTAAACTAATTGAATTCATGGACTTGAATATCTTGGGTTAAGCCCAATATACTAAGGTTACATTTGCTTATTAGAAAAAAATGAAATGGAATAAATTAAATAAATAAAGGTAAAAATAAAATGATCAAAAAGGATATGCGAGCTCATTCATAAGAAGGAGGGGTAATTTAATTCATGAGATTAAAAATCATGATTCATGAGATTTTTGAAGAGTATGATGATTCCCATATTTGTAATATATATTAATAAACTTTATTATGTTTACTATGAGAATAAGGGTGATTTAGTTTATTTTTATTTTAATTTTTTTAATTCATTTCATTTCATTCCTTTTTAATAACCAAACGTGACTTAAGAGTTTTTCTTTGGTGTTCTAGAACTTCATTTGCTTTTAAGATTTCTTGATCATTTAAAACATCCTTCATTAATGAATTTATAATTTCTTTCATTAATGTACGGCTTTCAATATGATGTATCGTTCTCATAAGATTCAATCTATATCACTTTTTTTTTACCATAAAGGAATTGCCTTACCTAGCTCTTTAGCTACCGACTTCGCCTTTGCTATTGGTATCTCAGCTGATGCTGCTGCTAATGCTGGATCTACTACAGGCTCTTCCATTTGCGGTGCTGGTGCATAGGTAGGTTGTGCCGGTGAAATGGTGGCCCACTTCTGCTTTATTAGTGGAATCTCTTTTTTTAGTCCCAACACTTTCATCAACCGAATCCACTTCTACTGAATCCACTCTAGTTATTAGTTCTTCAATATCCTGTAATGGATCAAATGTATTAAATATGAGATTTTGACTCATCCCTTGATTCCTATCAAAAGTTAAACGTCAAGAGTCACCGAAGAAGGAAAAAAGAAACATGTTGAAAAAGTTATCGTAACTTAAGATCCAATCTCATTATATATGTTCTTCAATTTGTATTAAGCCGTAGTATCGGATACTTGATGGTTTGATCTGGAAAAAAGGACTATTAAAAGGTTAATGCATGAGGCTTTTGGTGAAACATCTTAAAAGTTATAGATTGATGTTAATATAAGTATTTTTAGGAAGATAATTTGTGTTTATCATTTATACATTCCAAACAATACTAAAATCGATACTCCTTTCAATCTTTATTGTAAATAACTTTTAACTACCTTACCACTCTTAAGCCAAGGAATAACTCGTGGAATCATATAAAAATATTAAATTAGAGTTAAATTATTTTTTTTATAATTTTATAAGGATAAAATTGAAAAATTTTAATTCATAACTTTCTATGACTTATATTAAATATTAAAAAAAATTCTTCTAGCGTCTTCTTTATTAAAAATATTTTGTAAAGGAGTTTCTAAGTAACAACCTAAAACATTTATTTTCTTGTCTTATCTTTCAGAACAATTTAAAATATATATTTTTCAATTAATATTATTATTTTGAAAGCCAGGGTAGACTAGTTGGTTGTGTTGATTGAACCGGAAAATGGTCCAGTACCGTCTGATGGGAAGATGGCAGCAAATTGGAGGGCCAAAAAACTAATAACAATCCAGTTGAATTGGTCACATTTTTTTTTTTTGTAATTTATAAATGCATATCTGTATTTGATAATCGTTAAAAGGAAAGGAAAATAAACAAATATACAAGAAAGTATGTATGTATATATCTAGGTCTGGTTCAGCGTCTCATGAGCCCCTCTCATATGGGAAATTAAAACCCTTGTATTGAAATTTTATAAATTATAAATTTAGAGGATAAACTAGTGATAGCTTCATGCTGATCTCAAGTAATTAGATGATCACATCACAGGTCAACTTAGTATAAAGAAATGAAGATGTGAGCTGAGATTTGGAGTAATCCCAGGTTTGGAGATAAGGTTTACGAAACAGTGTTATCCAACAACAACATTGATGGAATCTTTTATTTTTCAGGCAAAAAATAAATAATCCTTTTTTTGGGCTCTCCATTGATTGATTGAATCTTTCAATATTTCGATTTTTGCAATAATTTTGGTAGATGAGAGTGGATTGGTGGGGAACTTAATCTCCATGTCCGTGGTTGACATGTCCACGTTTGAGTCAAGAAAACTATTCAATTTTTTTAATTTGGCCAGCAAGAAAACTAATTAATAGTTGCAGGAAAAGGAAGGGGTAAATTGTCAACAAAAAAATGGTCTAATTGATAAAAATTTAACTCATTATTCACAATGATGTTAATTCAAATCCAACTCTCAATATGAGAATTTTATACATGGATGATCTATAAATATTTTTATAAATATTCTTTAAAATTAAAATTTGCATACACGTCATGTCGAATCCTGAACTCACCCACCTAAATGTTTCTTCTTCAAAAAATAAGGGAAGGGTGAAGTGTAA